TTCCAGGAAGCCCGGGGCAGAGCAACTCTGCCTCGGGCTTCCTGTAGTCAGCCGCTGGTCAGTTTCAGCAGCAGCTGAATCTGGATGCCAGTTCTGACTTACATACAGATTCAACTTAAGAACAAACCTACAGTCCCTATCTTGTATGTAACCCGGGGACTGCCTGTACTTCATATAAAAGATGCACATATTAAGACATTGTCAACAAAAATAAAATTATAAAATATCCTGGCAGAAGTGTGAACATTTTATTTAACAGTTACCAATTCTTTCTCCTCATTAGACAAAAAGAAATCACCGTATTTCTTGTACATACATATGAAAAAATGGTACAAACTCCAAGTGTTCAAAAATGTCATACATTATTATTTCTGCCTCTAATGTAGAGGAGAAAGAAAGCAAGTTTAGTACAGCAACTTTAACCATGCTTCATATTGTCCATTCATAATAAACACTTCTTCATAATGAGTATATATGCCCTGACTAAGCAAGGAAATTAAGCACGACTTATTTAATTGAGGCACCATCTTAAATACCTTGCGGAGTCCTAGCTATAAATGATACAACTTCTGAGATTTTAGGAGTCTACATAAGTTAAAAGGAACACTGTCAAAGGGACTGTAGCTTAGTCCAAAATAGGGCCTGCTTTTCCTATACCTGTTGACAAAATTCCTGTAACTCATCCTATGGAGAACGCTATGAAATACTTCAATAATCATTTTGTACTGATTGGTGCAAACAGGAAACAATTCACAAGCAGCCTTACAAATAAATTGAAATGATGATCAGTAATGAAATCTCAGTTTTAAGCATTATATAGTTGTAATTAAATAAACAATAAAAAAGAACAAATTATATTACCATATTAACAAAACTGAACTGTAAAATAAGATAGGCAATACATCTGTCCTGAACTCCCAAAACCAACAGCACTATAATTTAACATGTAATCTCAAAGTTATCCAAACTGTAAACAGTGTTTCTTATATGGCTATCAGTTATATACATGCAGCTCCTATTAAAATTATTGGGATTGTTTTAGCATTATCTGTGTTTGAATCTGACCCACTGATAAATAGATTAGAAACAGATCTGCATTTTTAAGCCCTGTGCTTGACAACTGCTTATATGTACACAATACATCATCAAAACATTTTTTTTGGGGGGGGGGGGGAAGAGATCAATTGATAAGTCACCCTTGAATTAACATGATATAAAATATAAAAAAGCCAGGATTCATACCAATATAGATATAATAACTACAGATTTCCAGAATTACATTCATACAATAAAGATCAGAAGCGGTGACAGGACTCCTTTCAGTGATCTGACACTAATATTCACAATGTGAAAGGGCAGACTTTTTTTTTTTTGCAAAAAGTTTTTGCAACAGAACTGACTCAAAGTTCCCATTACCTGCAAATTTAGCCTCCTGTTCAGAAAGCCTTGCAAAACAGGATTAATTTTAATCATGTAAATAGTCCCAGTGACATCAGCACAGCTTTAAGGGTATAAAGCACAATCCTGAAATCAATAGGACTACTCACAGGCTTAAAACTAAGCATGTGCCTAAGTGCTTTATAGGACTAGGGCCATAGTGCCAGATTGGCATGAACTCCCTCCCCCCAATAATATTCAACAGGAGTCAAGAGTGACTACTACCTTGCAGGAAGTGTACAATATCAAATTGGATTAGGACTAAATACTGTAAAATGAGTAGACTCCACAAAGGGCATTATTTCATGACCGTGTGGTTTAGCAAAAAATAAATTTTGTGCCCTCTTGATGCCATGAGTCCTCTGTGCAATTTTGGTGGATTCATCCAAAAGCAACAAAAAGTCTGCATTAAGCAACATACAACTTACATACAGTATTTTATACAATTGTTTACTCATGTTACAATATTTAGGCATTATTTATAGTATGAGAAAGTAGCAGTTATTTTGTGAATCACTTCTAATGAGCACAAGTTTGTGTACACACTGGAAGAGCAATGGTTGTAAGATAAATAAGCTCACACTAGGAGGGTAAGAACAAAAACCAGTGTCTTACACCTTGGATAGTCATTAAAAGTTGACTCTAATGCTTACATTACGTTGGATCAGACTCTTTCAGCGTGGTAGCATTTTATACCCAGTTGTCAAATGTCCTTAGCTTTCTTATGAACAAAATTCATGAAGAGGATCTAGTTTTTAAATGGCATCTCTTTCACCATTTCTGCCACAGATGTTTTGCATTTCACTCAGCTTGGACAGTCCATATAGAATAACCAGTTTTATTTTGTGAGTCTCACGCCAAAGCACAATGCTGTAATTTTGTTTCACAAACAAATCCTTTTCGTTATGCTTCTGACTGAAAGCATTTAGATTACTGATTGTATTAAAATTAAGCCAAGGTAGGGGCCTGAATGTGTTGACAATGCCCTTCTAAATGTGTTGAAGTTTCAAACAAAAGCAAGCCATTGTGCAAAATAAAGGCAGACTTTATCCTGTCCAGGAGGGAGGGGGAGGAATGGGGGTTTTCCTCATTAGTTCTTCATTTTCTTTTTTCTTCTGAATTCACTTTGTCCATTAGCAGCAATAAATGTTCTGCAAACTCACGAATGGCACCATGGCCTCCATTACTTTTACAGATATAGCTAGCAGACGTCTTAGCAGCAGCGCAAGCATCTGCAGGAACACAACTTATCCCAGCTGTCTTCAAGCAGTCCACATCGGATTCTTCATTTCCTATCAAAGGAGGAATTTAAATATGTTGAAGTCTGATGTCAAATGGAGCACGTGAGATAAGTAAGCATTTTCTCTTGAACTTGATGACTTGCAACTCCAGAAAATACTTTTAAAAAATAATCTGTACTTTTACAACCTTTCATATCTTAGGATCTCAAGGTCACTTCACAAACTGGAATCAATACTTACAAAACCTCCATCACAGATATACATTTTACAGGTGGTGGTTACAAGAAAAATATTAAGGGCCAACTCTACAATCACACATAACTTTACATACAAGCACACTGCCTTTAAAATACCTGAAATTGCTTACACATTCTTTTCGTTTGCACAAGCATGTGGAGAAATGCGCTCTTCACTTTAAATGAAAAATCTTTGCACAGGAGTATCAGAATTTTTGGCAATTTGGTTATTAATCTTCCTGTTAACTAAGGGCAAAGTGATTTGAAGATAAGCCGTGCTATGTATTATTTAATTAGACCTGTGTATGCTGCATGAAGTTTCATCATTTAAAAAACAAAAACAAACTAACCTATGTAAGCCACTTCTTTCCAGCTTAAATTCATTTTTTTCAAGCAGTCTTCTACAACTTGCAGTTTATTTGTCACGCTGACTTCCACTTCACAATCCAATTTTGTAGCAGAAATAGTCTTTGAACAGTTCCTTTCTGAGATTAGCAGTACCTATTAAGTTAAATTAGAATAAACTCCATACGCAGACACAAAGTGACTATTGAATGAACATAAAATGGAAACTGTTTTTAGAAAACCTCCTGCATTTTGCTTCAACTACCCCAGACTAACACGGCTACATTTCTGATACAGGCAACTAGCAATCTATGGCTGAGGTATCTCTTTTAGATTCAAAGCCGAGCCAATTAGGATACAAGAACACATTATTGACTTAGCATTTCTAGTCATTAAAGAAGAGTGATTTATCCATATGTAGGTTTCCTTCTAATTCACAAAACAGGAATTCTTATTTCTCTCTTTAAACACAACACATGCCAAGATTGTTAAATTACATACTGGTTGTCACACTATAGCCGTGATATGCTGGCTGTCACATATACGAAGGTCTCACCACCAAATTTAAACCATACTATCATCAAAGCTATCCTGATGAAGGTTTACAAACTATTTCTAGAAGCTGCATTATTCAAAATATTTTCCATGATTTTAGCATCTAGTAACATTCTTGAGATTTGTACTCTAAAAGAAAGAGCAGGAAGTAAATGTTGGAAATACATTCTGAAAGCAATGAACAAAGCACTTTGTCACAAAGCAGAGATACTGAGAAGATTTTCGGAAAAAACCATTGTAGGTAAATTTCTCCTCTCTAGTCTGTGCTGCAAGCTGTCAGTGAATATTCTGCATTTATCATTTCATATTTTGTAGTCAAAAGGAGTTGAATACAGAGCAAGACATGCTACACCAGCAGCAGACACTGATGTGAAGCACAAAACTCACAGCCTCAGGATTTTTGTGGAATCTATGAATCCCCTATTTATTATATTAAGATACAGAAATAGGAGCCAACATACTTTGGCAGTCCAAGACAAGCCTTATCCACACTTATTGGAAGATTGGTGCTGTGGGGATCGATCCTCCGGGGTCAATTTAGCAGGTCCAGTAAAGACCTACTAAATCGACCACTGATCGTCTCATGCACTTCATCGGATCAAGAAGCATAAGAGTCGATGGGAGTTGTGGAGCTATTCACGTAGCTGGAGTAGTATATCTTAGGCCAGCTTACACTAGTGGGGTAATGTTGAACTAAGTAACGATACCTCACAAAATCACCACAGCAGCATCTACTAGGTCTCTCCCCCCACTTCGGTTGTGTCCCTATGCACTGTAGAGGGAGGCCACATAAAACAGCATGCAGCTATCTTACTCAGTTCCTGTACTGGGAAGTTCACCCTGGCTGAATCAAACAGGAAGAAGAGTAAATGTAAGTTTGATTTACATGGGTTATGCTTCACCAATTTAAGAATTTACTAAGATATACTACTCCAGCTACGTGAATAGCTGAGTGGAGTACAGGATCAGGTCCAGGATATAACCGTTACAGGACCGCTTGGGAATAGTGACCATAATATAATAACATTCAACATTCCTGTGGTGGGAAGAACACCTCAGCAGTCCAACACCCTGGCATTTAATTTCAAAAAGGGGAATTACACAAAAATGAGGAGGTTTGTTAAACAGAAATTAAAAGGCACAGTGACTAGAGCCAAATCCCTGAAAGCTGCATGGAAACTTTTTAAAGACACCATAATAGAGGCCCAACTTAAATGTATACCCCAAATTAAAAAACATAGCAAGAGACCTAAAAAAGAGTCACCGTGGCTTAACCACCATGTAAAAGAAGCAGTGAGGGACAAAAAGGTATCTTTTAAGAAGTGGAAGTCCAATCCTAGTGAGATAAATAGAAAGGAACAGAAACACTGTCAAATCAAGTGTAAACATGTAATAAGAAAAGCAAAAAAAGATTTTGAGGAACAGCTAGCCAAAAACTCAAAAAGAAATAAAATGTTTTTTAAGTACATTAGAAGCAGGAAGCCTGCTAAAAAACCTGTGGGTCCCCTAGATGATCGAGCTATAAAAGGAGCAATCAAGGACAATAAAGCCATTGCGGAGAAACTAAATGATTTCTTTGCTTCAGTCTTCACGGCTGAGGACGTTGGGGAGATTCCCAAATCTGCACCGTCCTTTGTGGCTGATGAATCTGAGGAACTGTCCCAGATTGAAGTGTCATCAGAGGAGGTTTTGGAACAAATAGAAAAACTTAATGTTAACAAATCTCCAGGACCGGATGGCATTCATCCAAAGGTTTTAAAAGAACTTAAATGGGAAATTGCTGAGCTATTATCTGTGGTTTGTAACCTATCCTTTAAATCGGCTTCCGTACCTAATGACTGGAAGATAGCCAACATGACACCAATATTTAAAAAGGTCTCTAGAGGCGATCCTGGCAATTACAGACCAGTAAGTCTAACTTCAGTACCGGGCAAATTAGTCGAAACAATAGTAAAGAATAAAATTGTGAAGGATGTAGAAGAACATAATTTGTTGGACAAAAGTCAAAATGGTTTCTGTAAAGGGAAATCCTGTCTTACTAATCTATTAGAGTTCTTGGAAGGGGTTAACAAACATGCGGACAAGGGGGATCCAGTAGATATAGTATACTTGGATTTTCAGAAAGCCTTTGACAAGGTCCCTCACCAAAGGCTCTTGTGTAAATTACATGGCCATGGGATAAGAGGGAAGGTCCTTTCTTGGATTGAGAACTGGTTAAAAGACAGGAAACAAAGGGTAGGAATAAATGGTAAATTTTCAGAATAGAGAGGGGTTGTCCCCCAAGGGTCAGTCCTGGGACCAATCCTTTTCAACTTATTCATAAATGATCTGGAGAAAGGGGTAAGCTTTAAATTGGCTTCCGTACCTAATGACTGGAAGGGAGCCCACGTGACACCAATATTTAAAAAGGGCTCTAGATGCGATCCTGGCAATTACAGACCGGTAAGTCTAACTTCAGTACCGGGCAAATTAGTCGAAACAATAGTAAAGAATAAAATTGTGAAGCATGTAGAAGAACATAATTTGTTGGACAAAAGTCAACATGGTTTCTGTAAAGGGAAATCCTGTCTTACTAATCTATTAGAGTTCTTTGAAGGGGTTAACAAACATGCGGACAAGGGGGATCCAGTAGATATAGTATACTTGGATTTTCAGAAAGCCTTTGACAAGGTCCCTCACCAAAGGCTCTTGTGTAAATTACATGGCCATGGGATAAGAGGGAAGGTCCTTTCTTGGATTGAGAACTGGTTAAAAGACAGGAAACAAAGGGTAGGAATAAATGGTAAATTTTCAGATTGGAGAGGGGTAACTAGTGGTGTACCCCAAGGGTCAGTCCTGGGACCAATCCTTTTCAACTTATTCATAAATGATCTGGAGAAAGGGGTAAGCAGTGAGGTAGTAAAGTTTGCAGATGATACCAAACTGTTTAGGATAGTCAAGACAGAAGCAGACTGTGAGGGACTCCAAGAAGATCTCACCAAACTGAGTGATTGGGCAACAAAATGGCAAATGAAATTTAATGTGGATAAGTGTAAAGTAATGCACATCGGGAAAAATAACCCCAACTATACATACAGTGTGATGGGGGCTAATTTGGCTATGACAAATCCGGAAAGAGATCTTGGAGTTATCGTGGACAGTTCTCTGAAAACTTCCACACGGTGTGCAGCGGCGGTCAAAAAGGCAAATAGGATGCTAGGAATTATTAGGAAAGGGATAGAAAATAAGACCCAGAACATCTTACTGCCCCTGTATAAAACTATGGTACGCCCACATCTTGAATACTGTGTACAGATGTGGTCTCCTCACCTCAAAAAAGATATTTTGGCCTTGGAAAGGGTTCAGAAAAGGGCAACTAAAATGATTAGGGGTTTGGAACGGGTCCCATATGAGGAGAGGTTAAAGCGACTGGGACTTTTCAGTTTAGAAAAGAGGAGACTGAGGGGGGATATGATAGAGGTCTATAAAATCATGAGTGGTGTGGAGAGGGCCGATAAAGAAAAGTTATTTATTAGTTCCCTAAATAGAAGAACTAGAGGACACCAAATGAAATTAGTGGGGAGCAGGTTTAAAACTAATAAAAGAAAGTTCTTCGTCACACAGCGTGTAGTCAACCTGTGGAACTCCTTGCCAGAGGAGGCTGTGAAGGCTAGGACTATAATAGAGTTTAAAGAGAAGCTAGATAATCTCATGGAGGTTAGGTCCATAAAAGGCTATTAGCCAGGGGATAAAATGGTGTCCTTGGCCTCTGTCTGTCAGAGGCTGGAGAGGGATGGCAGGAGACAAATCGCTTGATCATTGTCTTCAGTCCACCCTCTCTGGGGCACCTGGTGCTGGCCACTGTCGGTAGACAGGATACTGGGCTAGATGGACCTTTGGTCTGACCCAGTACGGCTGTTCTTATGTAAGAATTTACACTTGTGTAAAATCTTCATTAAGGCAAAATTTGGCTTTAATGATTATGGAAAGCAAATTAAACCAATGCGGTTTTAGTTTTTTAGGTTGCCTTGAACTCTTAGGACTGATGAGAGGAAGCACAGATGATCTTGTGGTTAAAAGCACTAGACCATGACTCCAATGATCTGCACTTAATTTCCTCTCTTTACTACACTTCTTGTGTAACTGGGCAAGTCTATTAATTTCTGTCTCTCAACTCCTGATCTATCACTAGGGAGTAATATATTGACCTCATTATCTCTAGCCTTACTCTTGACTGATACTCTTTTCATATCCCTGTATACTTATACCTGCGTCTGAAATTTCCAGTACATGCATCTGACAAAGTGGGTCCTTTACCCACAAAAGCTTATGCTCCAATAAATCTGTTAAGTCTATAAGGTGCCACAGGACTTCTCGTTGTTTATAGTGAATAATAGTATTTCTGTATCGCAGAGGGCTTTTGTGATGACAGTTAATTATGGTTCATTAGGAACTTCGATACTTATGAGAGGTAACCATGCAACTACTGGGAAAGAGGATTACTGCTCAGCGTGTGCTCTGGATAAGCAGCACATGCAACATGAGTGGTGCCAACACAGTACTATACAAACTCCTTTACACAATCTTGGGACAATTAGCGCAAATACCAACACAAGTATTAGAAACATGTCACCACCACACAGGAACTTCAGAATCTAGAGTTACCACCATCCGAAAGTACTAAGATTAATGTTGTTTTCAGAAGTGCCTGCCTCCCCACCATTCTCATTTTGAAAAGTTTGCTGTGGAAGTTTAACAAGGAACATAAAGTCTCATGATTCAGAAAAGACGCTTACCTGAATGTCTCTTTTCTTTAATAAGGAAATCCCAATAGCATCTCTAACATCATAACAGATTATTTCTTTTTGATCTTCTGACAAACAAATGCGACCATCAGTGAGACATCCATCAATGATGCAGACGAGTAGCTTCACCTTTTTTATTTGCTTTTTTTCAGTGTTACCAAAATACCCATATCTAAACAAAGAAGCTTTCATTTCAGAATGGAAGACTTTGAAATTGTATTTTAAAAAACTTAAATAAAAAGTAATCCACTAATGCAAAGCAAAGAATCTTGGTTTGTGATTCTTGGTTATTTTCACAAGAAAGACTCCCTGACATCTTATTTTTCAAAATATACCCCAGAAGATAAATGCAGAATAAATTAATCTGAATTCCTTAAAACATGAAAAACAAAATTACTAATAATAAATACAGCTCTATGACAAAAGATAAGTTGCCCAATGTTGTCCATTTAAAAAAAAAATCTTTAGACAAGAGAGTTATGTTCTATAGCATATTTTAAGAAAAAAATAGGGGTCACAGATAGAATTGCCAAAGTATTACTTAACCAGTATATTACAGTAGTGTTTGCAGTACCCAATCCTAATGTAGGTCCTATTATATAAACACACAGGTAAGCATGGAGTCTGCATGTAGAAGCTTAAGATCTTACACAAAGCTAACCCTGACTCCAGCAGCACGCGCGCACACCCATCGCCCGCCTGAGCACCTCCTCACACCCCAACCTGGACTCCTTCACTCCCACAGTTCCCTCCCAAGCCCCTCCTCACCGTCCAACCCCAACTCCTGCACCCCCCATGCCTCCCTGCCCTGCCGGACCTGAGCCATTCAGGGTAAACGTCTAGTCAAAAATAACGCTGAACTTTCAAAACCTCTCTTTTTACCTCAGCACTCTTTGCTCTGCAATAGGCCAGTCGATATCTACATCTATATCCACGCTGTGTTCAGCACGCATTTCATAGTACATCACTTTTTCACCCTAAACAAAATTAGATTTCAGACATTTTATTCTCCATACTTGATATCAGTATCTCACACAACATCAATTTATATACAGAAATGTTTATCCATTAGGACTAAATGAAAAGGACTGAATATTCATAATGCCATATATAGTAATGGCCAACTTTATATGACCAAATGACTTATCTAGAAAAAAACAACACAAAAATGTTTACTATTACTTGACATTTGCAAAGTGCTTTTCATACTAGATTCTTAGAGATTGATTTTTGTAAGCCACTTTATTACCCTTATTGTAAAAACCAAGGAAACTGAAACAAAACCTTTTATCACTAAACTGATCTGATTTCAGTAGATGATTTAGTGGGAAAAGAGGCAGCAGCACATTTAGTTTTTGTTAGTCTATGAAGTGCTACCAGATCACTTTTTTTTTAATGTATCCTGTACAGACTAACTGGCTACCCCCTGAAGATTTAATTTTAACTTAGTACAACTGTGCTTTTTACTGGTGTGACAAACTATTATCTCAGGATTTCTGGGACTTTTAACAGCATGATGGGTAAATCTCAGTCATTTCGCATCTTAGTTTTTCCATCTGTAAAATGGAGTTCAGATTATGGATCTCTCAGAGTTATGAAAAATACCTGAACATTCATAAATCATTTTGACTTCCTCTGATAGAAGGTACTCTCAAAAAGCGGCATGTTATTATTAAGTGGAAAAAAATGTCACTGACTTTTCTGTTGCACAATTCAGCATAATACTCTTAACTGTTTTAAATGTAGGTATGTTTCCACTTTACTACACAGGAACCATGCCCTGAGTAATAGTTGCTGTGTGCAACTCTGATGGGCAGACTAGACTCACTGCATCTTAGCATCAAAGAATCAAGATGAAAAAAGGCTTGCCTTTGGGAATATCATTTACAACTTAAGACAGTCTTAGTAGACAACCTGAGATAATGCCAAAATACTATTGTAGTAAGTAGATGCTGACCATAAGTAGACTCAAGTATCTCTTTAGTAAAAAACCAAACCTATTATGTTCAACTGATTCCTCTGTAGTTAACATGATAATAGTAAAACACTGAACAAAGGTGGCTTCATATCAAACTTGCACAGCATGGCTCATGTTCTCAGCACATTCTGTGCAAGGAGAACCAATCACGGCTCCCAGAGCTGGGTCTACAATACCTTAAGGTTACTAATGCATGCTAGGGATGTAAAAGAGTAGTCAAATAATAAACTTAAAAGCTGGTTCCCCACAGCACCATCTCCACAGTGCCACTTGTCCCCACCCTCCAGTGCTGCCTCCATCAAGCTCTGTCTGCAGGGGGTCCCAACTCCCCACTGGGACCTCCCACAGACAGGGGCTGCTGGACCCAGTGTAAACTGTGACTGAGCAAGCCCAGCTCAGTCCTGGCTTGCGCCGGGTCCATGAGCTACCCCTGCTATGACTCTACAGTTTAAATGTAGTAGGAGCCGGGCTGCCTGCATGCCCGACTCTTGCTACACTTAAACCGCAGAGCCACAGAGGGGATAGCGCTTTATTGAGTAATCATGTAGTCGATACAAACTGTATCGACTACATGATTACCCAGTTACCCACCTCTTAACATTCTTAATGCATGCTAGTTGGCCATGAGCCCCAAGAAGGTGGGAATGCAGCACCCCCACTCCTTGATACACCCCTTATGTTGCAGAAGAATGAGTGTGTTGGAGTCAGATACATTAGTTCTGCATCTTCTATCAACTATTCCACTTCAAGGGAGCCTCCCAGCACAGAAGATTCACTTGCTTTCCGTTCTAAGTGGAACATAAATCGGGACTGTCTCACATCAGTTTTTAGAAATATTTTGCACTTCTATACATACAGGTTGAACCTCGCTAGTCCAGAACTCTCATCCAGAAACATCCATCATCCAGAATTATTTTAATTACCGTAATTTAGCAAATATACCCTGCACCCGAATATACCCTGCACGAGTATAATCCGCAGGGTATACAAGACTTTGTTTCAAACTGTGCAGGGGAAGGGGGAGGGGGGGGATTAGCCACACTCTGGGATGGGGAGTACTCACCCCACCTGGTTCCCAAGTGGATGCACAACCGGCGGGGGAGTACTCACCCTCCTGGTTCCCAAGTGGATGCACAACCTCCGGACTCCACACTGGAGTCTTTAACCTAAAATTCTTATTTAGGTAAGCACTTCCACTGACGCCAATACATAAGGAATGCTCAGCTGAGTAAGAATCATAGAACCCACTCCTGGAGTTCCAATAGGAATTCTATCACAGTACTTTCACAGGCCTAAGGATATACATTCTTCTTGCACAAATTGTTTAAGAAATCTGTATCTTACTTAACCTACTAATGCCAGAGGATTCAACAGTAGCTAAGATTACAAATAAGAAGCTACAACACGCTTGGCTTCAACTGTTGCTGCTGGGCATTATTCCCTCACAATCCACAAACACAACACACTATAGTCAATTACATACATCACAATTGCCAGCGTCAAAGGATTTGAGCTCCCTAATGGAAGAGTACAGGAGGCAATAATCTAAAAAGCCCTGAAAAAACAGAAACACTGACCTGTAAGTAGCCTTTTTTAATCAGGTCCTTTGTAGCAAAGTAAAATGACCCATTTTCATAAAGTTCCCCATCCCAATCCTGACGCCGGGGCCGTCTTTTTGGATCCAGGCCACCTTGAAGTGTTGTTACTTCATTACCTATAAAAACAATTGTGGGGAAAAAAAAGAAAAAAAATTAAAGCTTTGTGTTTAAATTAACTTACTACTAGGAAATTAAGAGTACAGCATAGTCACCAGCTACTCTGATTTCTGTCTCAGTAAGGGTAAGTATTTTCTGAACTCTTGTCTCTCTTGGTATCTTTGGAGCCCAAGGTGGAGAAATGCCCTACATTTCTTGTACAGAAAACTGAAATATCCCAATTCGAACATGCAGAGAACACATCTATCATAGAAGTCTTCAGAAAATATCTATCATAGAAGCCTGCTTCTCAGCCCTTTCCTTCCACTCACCTCACCCTGCTAAAGTGTCACTGCCTTTGAGAAAGAAAATTTGCTCTTTTCTTATTATCATGTCTAGTATTTGGTAGGGAAAACTGGCTATTTTTTGTTTGAGGGATTTTTTAAAAATAATTAGTCCCTCAGCAATATATCTTGAAACAGAATATTTTTTCTTATGTCTACTACAAACCCTCATACCATGTTATTCCATCTGTATTGATTCCTTGCACCACTGGGCAAGGGGACAGTATCCTTCAGAGTGCTTTCAAAACTATCTTGACTCCCACTGAAGGCAATGAAAGCTGAGACACCTCAGCATCGTGAAGGACTGGCATCTCAAAACAAAGAGGGCACACTAGAGCTTTGAAAGCCTGAAAATATGTATTAAGGACACAAAGCTGACTGTAGGATGATACTTGCACACAAAATGACAATAATATGCCTTTTGTACACTTTCACTACAGCTAAATTTTCATTTTCAAAGCAATCAGGAAATGTCACTCAAAAGATCCTGTTTTGATAAAGATGTTTTACTAATCATGTGCTTTACTGAACAAAATCTGTATTTTTCCACTTCATTTTCAGCTTTTTGGGGGTAAACTATAGTGTTGTTATGCTTTATATGCTCTCTGAGACCATGGTGCTCTGTAAACCATAAAAACTGCAATCAAAACATCCTAAATTATGACAATGGAGAAGAATTAGAGGCCTTTGGTAATGTTTATGAAATGGACTTAGGGGTGTCAAATGCAGTGACTTGAACACCTTGGAGTTCCATTTTAATTATGAAACAAGTCAAACATGGACTGCAGCAGTATAAGTATCCAAATACCCATCAATATGCCCCTCCCTCAGATATAAGGACCTCTTCCAAAGGTGAGATCTCAGTCAGTTTAATGGCTGGCACCTCTGCTAAAGCTGCCAAAAAGCAGCATCTTTACCTGGAAAGACAGTGTTTTCTTACCTCATGTCACCTAACATGAAGCAAAACTGCAGTGAAGACAAGGCAGTTTGCTACTTTTCATTGACAAAACAAGGCAATACTAGTCATTTTCTTAACATGCTAACTTGTACTTAAGATATCACTGCTATGTTTTCACTACAGCCTTACCTCATGTGAATGATCATGTGTTAGCCAAAATGAGAACAAAGGGTTTTCACTGCATAATTTTATGTTTAAATATGTTAATGACACTTGTACTTTGAACTACTTCAGGTGATCTCTAAAAAATGGCTGAACATTAACAAAAGGATAAATGTTAACACCACTATTTTAAAAAAGACAAAGCTATTTGAGTTCCTCTGCTTAAGAAATATATGCTTCAGATGTCACTTCCAACTGTAATTAACATATAGACTGGAAGCTTTACAAACCATAGTAATGATCAGAAACTGTAGACTATTACCTTCTTTTATCTCACTCCATCGAAACAGATGCCGTCTCACAACAGAGAAGACTGAATCATAGCCTTTGTTTTGGATCATTTTTGCCACTTCCTTAAGATCATCAGGATGTAAACAGGGAGATGTTGCCTGAATATTTCCTATAATATCAGCCTCTATAGAAGAAGAATAAAATATAACATGGGAAATCTTGTATGAAATATGGAATAGGTATAAATAAAATACTTCCACTTGAATATAAAAATTATTTACACACACATATGATTTCAAAGAAGATTCCATGACCAGATACATATGTTATACAATTAAGTGATTCACTTTAGCCATTAAAAAAAAATTGTTGCTCCAGCGTTACTAATTAAGAAAAAAAAAGTTACAAACTCCCCTTCATCAGCGATGTCAAGGGAAATTAGGGACACTCAGCAACCTAAAGGATTCAGACCTAGGACAATAGCAACAACTGTACCAGGATGCTTATGAAGAAACTCTTGGATGGCCTCCAAAGAAGTTGTTGAGTCTTTAGATACCTCAGGGCTTCTGCGATGGACTTTAGCTCCAAATTGCTTTGCCACTGTCTCAATTTCATCGTGGTCTGTGGATACCCATATACTGTTGGCAAAGATTCACAGGTGAATGATCACAGAAAGAACAAAAGAAGAATTAACAGTATTCTCCAGATGCACTGTATAACATTAATGGTCTACTCACTAGTCTCACTCATAACAGCAAAAAGTTGGTTACCAAATGAGTCAAATGTTTAAACTGGATGTCTGCATCCCATTTCTAAATTACCACTGAAGCAACTAAAATTACAAGAGTCAATGCTTCATTTTAGTAAATGCCTTATTTTAAAAAGCACTTAATTAAAAAGAGTTGATCATGCTAAGCAAAGATTGAATTAGACAGCCATACTAGTTACAAACTTAATCACTCTCTCTGGTTCACATACAGCCTCAGAAGTATTAATTTTGAAGCACCAGGACATAAAATTAGAGTCATCAGACCGTGACTACCTGTCACAGAACACCAAAATTAATTTCCCTCCAATTATTTTAAGATGAAATGAGATGGCCAATTTTTATTCTTGCTGTGAAGTCTGGTAATTGGTGTCCAAATGTTTACTAACCTACTAAGAATCATCACAACTTAATACTGCTTACATCTGAAAAAAATAGTTCAAATCTTTTCTGTTAGTAAGATTACAAGTTGGACCTCCCTGGTCTGGCTCTCTCAGGACATGACTGCTCCAGGACAAAGGAGTTTTTCAAACCAAGGAAGGCTGAAAAGGAGCTCCACTGGACTCCTTTCCCCAGCTACCTGCCACTGCTGCCTTGGCCCCCTAGCTGTTGCAGCCCTGCAGGCACTTGCAGACCCACCAGCTGTCAGCTCTGCAGCCTTTCCCTCCCCCGCCAAACACACACACACACACACACACACTTCTGGCCCCACCCGCTGTGAGCTCAGCACTTCCAAGCCACAGACTCCAGTGGCCCTGGGGGCTTCCTGACTCTGCCAGCTGCAGGCTCTGATGCCCTGGAGGCTCCGCTGACTTGCTGGCCCCACTTGCTAGTTCTTCTCCCAGACACCAGCAAACCCCGTGCTAGGGTTCTCTAATCTAGCAACATCCATAGTCCCCGACCACAGATGTTCAACCTGTACTGCTGACAACTAGGAATGTTAACGGTGAGCTGGGTAAACCAGTTAACTAGTAAGCATATGCCTTAGTGGCATGCTTACTGGAAAATCCCACCCCAACCCCATGGCACCCCAGACGGTAGGTTCACATCATGCCTTCAGTGATCAGGGGCCTGAGTACCCCCCACTGCCTGCAGCCAGTGGTTAACTGGTTAAAGAAATAGTTTAACTATTCTGGGAGATTTTTAAATCCCTACTGTCAACAGCAGGATAAGAAACCAGAAACCAACCATCCAAGGATTTTTCATTTAATTTAACATTTTCCTCAAAAGCTGAGTGGTTTTGTAATTTAACATCTTATGATGTCTGAGCTTCCATATCTATGGGAAACACATTATTTATTGCAGAGGGTTCTAAATTGTTTAGCATGCGGTAACAGTTCACTCAGGAGAATCAATGTTGAATGTGAAATAGATGAATAGTTCAAAAGCTATACTAATGTTAACGCACTGACCATTTATATCTGTTTCCATGGATTCAGTTATAAATTAGATTATTCTGTAACTACAGTAAAATAAATGCAATAGGTTCAATCCAAACCCAGGGTGACAGCCAATGTTCCCTCTAATTTTTTTCCATGCATGAGCAAAATAAATGTTATGTGCATAAAAGCATGTGTGGATATGCACCAACAGTAGAAACATATGGTGCCAGCCAGCTATGGATGCACTGCTAATGAGCTGGACAGCATTTTAATCTCTTCGGGGTGGCCACCCAAATGCTCAGTTTACAGGGAGCACTGGTGACGGCTAATCAAATGACAGTCACAGCCCAAATATAATGATAGCAGGTTTAATAGGAATGAGAAATATTTGCAAAAGGAATGGTTGGATCTATTGTAAGTTCTTTTGCAAAATGCACACATCGATAGTGTGAAATCACTGCCCTCAGAATTTCAATTTAAAGAACCCTAAAAGGTAACAAATTCAATAAAACTGGATATAAAAAATACCATTTGTTTTACAACTAACAGCCTTCTCACTGTACTGCACACAGTAAATGGCGCTCATCTTTTCCATCCAAAGACATAATGGAATTCATCCGAATTTATAGCATGAGGATAGCAGCTCCAGGGCACAATTTATTTTAGAACACTCCTGTGAGCCACCAGGCACAGCTTTGAGTATTACTTTCCAGGTCCATGTATGGGAATACTGTTCTCTCAACCTGAACAGTTTAAAGCACCCCCCAGCCCTTCGCATGAAGCCAAGAGCTTGCACAGATTTACATTTCCTGTTCGAGTTATTTAGAAAGGGACCTGCCACAGGTATCCCGCTGCTAAGTGTGGTGCTGCCCGCAGCTGAAAGATGGGTCCTGCGCAGGCATTCAGCCAGCAAGGACTTGAGCAGGCCCCTGGCTCTCCCCTCCCCATGGGGCACAGCCTGACACACAGGAGCGCAGAGCCCAGGCTCGGGGGAGCCAGTGGGA